CTTGCATGCATGAGGCCCTGGGTTCGATTCCTCAGCACCACATAAGCAAAAAGAAAAAAGCCAGAAGTGGCGCTGTGGCTCAAATGGTAGAGCGCGAGCCTTGAGCTGAAGAGCTGAGGGACAGCGCTCAGGCCCAGAGTTCAAGCCCCACGACTGGACCCAAAAAAAGAAAAGAAAAGAAACTTCAGAACTAGATGACAGTACAATCCAAATAGATGTGACAGATATCTCTGGAACATTCCAAACCAGCCTGAGCAAAAAAATCTGTGAGACTCTTATCTCCAACTAACCAGCACAAAGCTGGAAATGGAGATGTGGTTCAAGTGGTGTAACACCAGTCTTGAGTTTAAAAAAAGGCCAAGCAAGAGCTAGAGGCTCTGAGTTCAAACCTCAGTACTGCACGCGCACACGTGCACACGCACGCGCGCGCACGCACATACACACACACACAATCACACACAAAGGAAAGGAAATGAAAAGATCTGGGGTGTGGCTTGCTTAGCCAGCTTGAAGCACTGGGATCAACCAATTACCAGCACAGCAAAAATCAATAAAGAAAGATCACGCAGGAATTAATCCTTCATTAAGGAGCTAATCGACCTAACTAGTCCAGCTCCTTATTTCACTGGTCATCTTCACGCCCCTTAAAGGTAGCGTGTGATCATCCTGAGCCCGTCACAGCTTGCCCCCAATCTGAGGTTTCAGGCCACACTTGCATCTCACCTTTCATGCAGCAACCAGCTGATTATTTGGTGACATATTAGAGCTTACTTCAATCATCTGAATAACCAAACGTCAGCACAGATTTCTGGATTTGCCAAGCTAGCCGGGAGATTCCCACACCTGGGCCCAAATCACCAGGAACTAGGCCTGAAAAGCATGTTGCCCTGCTCCTGCCCCGCTGCCCAGGGCCAAGAAGTGGGAAGCATGCGTCCCTGTCCTGGGGCGGGGACTCTGCCTCCCGTGACCAGGCTGCGTCTCCCGGCAGGAGGAGAGCAGCAGGCAGAACACCTGCCTCCACGTGGAGATCTCAAAAGGCGGCGACTTCATGGCCATCCTCCTGCAAGGCAAGGCCTCGGCCACAGCCAGATCACTTTACAGCTAGGGAGAGAACACAACTCTCCTGCGTCCTTCCGCCAGCTCTCCCAAGCCCGCACCGAGGAACACAACCAGGGTGCACAGTGCCACCCAGGAGCGCGGCTGCTGGCTGCCAATCGCCGGCCAGACTTCCCCAGCCCCCACTGACTGTCCTGCGTGTGTCACACGTAACCATGTAGAGTTTTTGCCTGGGGCTGCACTGGATCAAGATCCTCCTGTTTGGGTTTCCTCACAGCTGGGCTGACAGGCAAACCCACCATGCCCAGCTTTTTTTTTTTTTTTTCTTCCCTTGGTGGTAGGGCCTGAACTCTGAGCCTGGGCTGTCCCTGAGCTATTCAGCTACCACTTGAGCCACAGCACCACTTTGGTTTTCTGGTGGTTCATTGGAGATAAGAGTCTCATAGACTTTCCTGCCCAGGCTGGCTTTGAACTTCGATCCTCAGATCTCAGCCTCCTGAGTAGCTAGGATGACAGATGTGAGCTACCAGCGCCTAGCTCATGCCCAGCTCTTTATTGGTTAAGACAGGGAGGGTGTTAGGAACTTGGAGCTCACAATCTTAGCCCCCAAGTAGCTGGGATTACAGCCATGAGCCAATGAGCCACCTCCCTAGCTTGGCAGGCTTCCTATTGAAGTTGAGCCTGTGGATGACAAAACGGTGGCCATAGCCAGTCCAGCCCCTCCTTCCCTGGCCCTCCCCGCTTGCTCTACAGACAGAGACAGCTCTCAGCATGGAGAGGGCACTGCCTGGGCGAAGCCCTGACTCCTTGTAGAGGGCGGCTGGAGGGGACCGACAGCTCTTCCTGGGAAAGTTATTTTGAGAGTGGAACTTGCAAAAACCATTATGAAATGGCTGCCCCTCCAGCCCATTCCAGTTGCTGCCCCGGGGGCCATGCGGCGGGGCCCATCTCCCAGCCAGGCTGCAGTTCCAAGAAAAGGGCCTTCCCCAGCCAAAGGCCGCTGCACTTGCTCAATGGCCCTTTGTTCCCGTAGCAGGGGCTGGGGAGCTTTGGCTGGAAGTGTACAGACTGCCCAAGGACATGTGGTTCAAGGAGACGGAGCACCCGCAGTCCAACCTGAATTCAAAGAGGAAAGTCAAACCCATGGTAGGAAACACTGCCATTCCCACCACCTCCCCCGCCCCCCACGGCCACCCCAAGGCCGCACAGGGTCCCCAGAGCAGAGCAGCGAGGCCTGGGCAGTGTGCAGGTACACAGGAAACAGAGGCCACCCGCCATTTCCTCACCTACTACGACAGACTCATCCCAGCTACCAGAGGCTGAGACCGGAGGATCACCCTCCACAGCCAGCCTGAACAGTCAACCTGAGCTGTTCTCATCTGCGACTCGAGTGTGAGGCAGCACTAGCTGTAAACACAAGAGCTAAGGGACAGTGAGGGCCCAGGCTCTGAGTCCGAGGCCTAGTGCGCATGCAGACACACACACGAGGAAAGTACTAGTCAGCGCTGGCTTTGGTAACGGCATGCAAGCTGACCTGCTGGCCTCTATGCATTTGTATTTCCTCTTGCTGTCATTTTGCATGCCTTGCCTCCCCAACTGCATTGTAAGACTCCAGGAGAGGGCTGGGAAGGTGGCTCCGTGGTAGAGCGCTAGCCTTCAGCAAAAGAGCTCAGAGACAGTGCCCAGACCTGAGTTCAAGCCCTTATGACTGACAAGAATAAAAAGCGGGGCTGGGAAGGTGGCTCAGTGGTAGAGCACTGGCCTCGCATGCCTGAGGCCCTGGGTTCCATTCCTCAGCACCACATAAGCAAAAAGAAAAAAGCCAGAAGTGGCGCTGTGGCTCAAGTGATAGAGCGTTAGCCTAGAGCTGACGAACTGAGGGACAGCGCCCAGGCCCAGAGTTCAGGCCCACGACCGGACCCCCCAAAAAAAATTCCAGGAGCAATGGTCCATGTGGACAGGGCTCCCACCCCGCCCCCGGCCCCACTCACACCCTGCTCCTCCACACCCGGCAGTATTCCCCCCCCCAGGAGCAATGGCGGAGGGGGCAGGAGGGCTCCTCGGCAAACCTGCTGGGAATTAAGCCCTCTCTTCCCTCCTCAGAACGCGCTCGACAACGTTCCTTCAGAAAACTTAGACACACTGGTAAGAAACTTTAAGGAAGATCTCCAGCATGGCTAAAGGTACACTTTAAAGGCTCTGGTTTTCACTTGAATTTGCACCTGGGGGACCCGTCCTCCGTCTTCACCTGTGTGTTCCCACCCGAGAAGTGTCACTCACCCCGAGTCAGGGGCCTGACCTGAGGGCACCGCCGTCCTGTCCTCACCCTTGGGTCTGGCTGAGGGCCGGGGTTTCTCCAAGATGGCTCTTCCCATCCCCAAGCCCGGGCCGACCGGCTGTGCCGTCTCCTTAGCAGGACGGGCCCATCAGCTTCCGCGGAGATGTTAAGCTGACGTATCCCTCCTACCTTATGAAGATCAAGCCGCCCAAGCCCGTGTCAGGTCAGTGGGCCCCTGACACAGCCATCTCCGGCTCCACTTCCCCTCCTCAGCCGTTCTCCACATTCCCACCTTTTCTATTTATGACGGCAATAGATGCAATGCATACTTCTAAAGAAGAAGCTATTTTAAATTCGTAAGCTTCCGGGACCTAAAATCAGGAAAATGTGGGCATGGGCAGGATGCTAGCAGCCTTACAGATTGGGAAAGGGAGCCGTGGGCTTGTGGAGCCGGTTCTTCAGCTTGAACTCAGGGCCTCATCTTCTTGCTTGGCTTTTCTGTCCAAGGCTGCCACACTACCACTTGAGCCATGTCTCCACTTCATCTTGGAGATGGAGTTTCACAGACTCTTCTGTTTGGGCTGGCTTTGAACTGTGATTGTCTGGATCTTGGCCTCCTGAGTAGCTAGGATCACGGGCATGAGCCATCACTTCCTATCTTTTTTTTTTTTTT